AAGGACTCTTTCTTTCGAGCAAAGGCCTGGGAGGTCTTTGAGATTGTGTGGCTCCAAAGTCTCATTCAGGTAGGAAGTGGGAAGCCACATGTTAGGGGTAAGCACACCAAAGGCATTTGACCAATGAGTCCACTCAACTGCTGTCCTTGAAGGCACTGAGTTCAGGTCCTAGAGAGGCAACTTCCTGTGCTTAACCTTTCACGTCAGCCCAAATCTCTTTTTCTTCCACAAAGAAGAAAATGTTTCTTTCTGTGACATTTATTTGGACAGTTATTGCCATAGTATGAAATAGTTTGTATGTTCTTTGGCTAAAAGTAACTCTGTGTAATGGGCAAAGGCAAGACGAAGTAGGCCACTTGCCAGCTGCCACCGTCCGTGGCAGTTTAGGCTCTTGTTAAGACGTCTCAATGGTCTCCACAGACTCTTCCACCGTGAATGCATCTGCTCACTCTTGCTAGAGTTCTGTTTCGTCACTATCCAGCTTGAAAACCCTTCAGTGGCCAAATAAAGGCTGAACCCTTTAACTTGGCATTTAACGTCCTGCACAATTGGAATCAAACCTACGTTGTAGCCGCTCCTGCAAACTGAAGCTCTGACCAATCTGATTGTTGCTTCAGCTAAACTTAACACTTCCCCACCTTTGCACATTTGTGCCGTCATGCCTTCTATCTAATGCTGATGCTTTAAGGAACATGCAGATAAGGTCCTTGTAGAATTCAGAGGATAGAAAAAGTACTTCTAGCTGGTGGCAGGGGTGGGGGTTCAGGGAAAGACTCAGAGTATAAATTATATTTTAATTGGGCCTTCAAGGATTTTATTATGTAAATTGAATAATCTCTATATAAATGAAGAAACTAGACTTAAAATATATTTATTTGGAAATTTTTTCTCCCCTTTTGAAATAAAGTATAGTTTTGAAATAAAAAATAATAAAGCAATGACAGCATAGAATACTATAATAATTCAAGTTATAGGAATTTCAATCTGCACTCTCATTTTATTAAATAAAAATTTTTATAATATGAGAAAACTAGGTAATCCTTGTACTAAGTTATTTACCTCTATCTCTTTTAATGTGTACTTTGAGATTAAATTTGTTTCAATATAGGCATCTATAGATTTATACATTCTGACCATCTGTTAGTAGGCTGAAATTGACTGATTTATACGGTATTCTCATTTTCATTTCTGATTTTCCTTGTTACCAAGCTATTTGTGGATGATTGGCAGAGGCTAGGAGTAAAGTCTGGGGCAGTGATTCACATAAAAGAAGCCCACGAACCTGCTTCACTAGACTAATGACTAATTCTTTTTTACTTCTTATATACTTATCTTACTTGTATAGAAATTATTCATAATTTTCAGTCTACTCACTGGTTATAATATTACATAGAATATTAATATATGGTTATATATTATAATTAATGTATATCAACCATATGGTTTCTAAACATGACCTGGCTATTACATAACTAGCTCCAAGCTATGCTCAAATTCAGTTCATCTCCCCAGCTTAGGATTCACCTTAGTCTAAGACGCACTAGCACGACTTTTTCATTTTCCCCTATAGCATCAGAATTTGTTGCTATAGGGTCTCACTCAAAAGACTGTTTCATTTGTGGAAGAAGTGCCTTTTGTGTATTTATAATTATAAAGAGAGGCAGTGCATCGTGGTGGTTAAGAGCAAGGCCTCTGGAGTCAACTGCCTGGGTTTAAATTCCAACAAGACCATTTATTAGCTGTATGACTTTTTGGCTAAGGTAGTTAGTCTCTGTTTCAGTTTTACTATCTATAAAATAGGGATGATGGTAATTGTACTTACCTCATAAGACTGTTGTAAGGATTAAGTGAGTATATTTGTACCTTTGTATCCTCTCTCGTATAATATAAAGTATATAATATATAATATAATAAGTAATATATTATGTGAGAGAGAAACCATTTAGAATAGTATATTGTACATAAGTGGTTTGTAAATAATAATAATATTATTAGGTACAATTTGTATATTAAGCCCCAAAGACCTTAATTGAAACAGGAAATAGCTGTTAGTAAATTCGTTTATTGTATTTTTATTTATATATCAACTCCCAGAGCTAAATATATTTCCCAAACGTATATGGATTTTGTATTTATTTAATTTCAAGCTATAAGTCTAATTTCAGTTAAAACTTTCATTGCTGGCATCTTGATTAAGCCCTGAGGATAGAATTTATAGATTTGTTGCTTGTTCATCTTGGCTCACCGTGGGGTAACATGTAAAGGAACACTGGACCAGAGGAGTTGTCATGGGATGTTTTTGTCTATCCTCTTTCTTCCATGAATGATTCGTATCTAATTACAAATATCTATGATATTTGAACTATTTGAACTCACAGTCTGAATTAATCAAATGAACTTAAAAATTGTCAAAACTCTACCACATTTTGTGTGAAAGACAGATCACTCAATGAAGGAAAAGGAGTCAGGAGGCTTATGTTTAGTGAACTCTGGATTCATTAGCACCACTTGCTATCCTGTTTTTGTTAACCTTCGTAATCTCCTACTTTGGGCCTAGCATAGCAGCTATGGATTCATAGGTTCGCTGAATCTTAGAGCTGGAAGGGACTTCAGAGGCAATATAGTTCTATTTTTCCTTTCACAAATGACGAAACTGAGATTCATTATGTTTAAATGACAATTCACACGGATGTGATTCAATTTGAGCTTAAAGGGTGAAATCTTAGTAAGATGATAACTTGTCATTTCATAGTCATCAACAGTCTCTGAGTTCTGAATTCTTGGGCACTCAAAGAATTTCCAAGTTCTTTTGTAGCTGCTTTGCTCTTTGAAACTTGTTGAAAATACATAAAGAATATCACAGGTGAAAATTTATGTTTACGACTACCTCTTTTTCTGTGGTTTTCTTGCGCAAGCAGACCTTCATCAAGAGCTACTAAAGGATTTCTCTTCTTCATCACTGAAGTGCAATCCCACAACTACTAATCTGATAAACTGCAAAATGCAGAATCTAGGATTCTTGAAGCTACTGTCTGGTACTCCTTTAATTGTATTTCTTTGGATTTAATTGCAGTTATACTTGTTCCTTTACCAACCACACTCTGCTGTAAAGTGATATATTTTAGCTTCAGAATATTCTGTGCTTTCTACCCCTGCCTCCCTACACACATACATAAACCTACACATACGTATGTAATCCCTCAAAGCTTTTTGTACCAAATGAAGCCAAAAAATCACTAGGCTGGAAAAATATATATTATATATGATCAAGTATTTATCATAAATAAAAGAATTTATCCTGAAACTCTAAAATATTTCTTTATCTTGGTTTCCTTTCCTTTCCTAGGAAAGATCTCTATATGTTAGAAGTTTAACTTGCCATAGCGTATAGTTAAAATTCCATTGTAATGAGTACTACTATATTATGTTTCAAACTTGTTTTCTTATAAAAGGGCTTTGTAAGAAAAATTGTGTCAAAAATCACATAAACATGGTTCAAGGAGGCAGGACTTGGACATAAAAGAGACAGATATCCAGCTTTCCTGTTAAGCACGAGCAAGTGAAAGAGGTGCCTTGAACCTAGTAACGGAAGGATGCAAACTGTCTCTCTCCCTTCTCCATCCCATCATTTAAATAAAATCTTCCCAGCAAAGGAACTTATCATTTGCTGTTTGGAGCTGAGTTAGCTTTCCTTAGAGGATAAGTTGGCATTTTTGAGGTGTTGAGTGAAGAGCTGAAGAATTATCAATAATTCATACCTGCCTCTTAGCGCCCACACGGCCTCTCCTCCCTCCCTCTTCGTTCTTTCCTGCTTTTTCACAATTCGGAAGGCACAGTAGGAACTGTCACAGGATTTCACTTTTATTCCTTTATCCAAGTGCACTCACACCTATCTTTTCAGTGATGAAACCTATGGCACTGGAATCGCTTATTCACTTGCATGGAAAGAAGTGTGAATCAGCCCTTTCCACCTGCAGAATGCAGTCTGGAATCTGCTGTTTATGCCCTTATACAGTTTTCCCCAATTTCTCCCATTAGCTTGGACCTGTCCTCCAGCCTACTCCTATATCTCTTTTCATCTTTTATCAGTACAGTTGATTTCATTAAAAAAACACAACAAAACCAAGTTAAAAACAAAACCAAAATTGCTCTTCTATGAAAGGAGGGCATGCACAATCAAATGCTTTTCTAGGCGAGGTGAGAGTTTATGCCCAGACTCATCTCCTGTGACCAGGAGCACATGTTTGCAAGTTGGTTGACTGGGGTTAGGGTTACAGTCAGCCTGTGACTACAGAATGGGAAATAGCCACTGGCCCTCACGGAGAAATAGTACATCCAGGGTCTTATTGGCACATGCATTAAACCAACAGAGTTAAACGTCCCTACTCAGTTATATCCAGCCTTTGTGAACTCGGTGGCCTAGTACTCTTCTTCCAGTATGGTTTGGCTCTTACACCAGTATCTGAACAGGTGGTAAAGTGGGAACCAAGTGGGTTTGGGAGCCTACAGGATCCAGGTGAAATCTTATTCAAGAATCATTCAGACCTCAAATTTGACACTAAGGAAAAAAGGGAGACTTTTCTAAGAGGAGAATTTTTTCTCCTCCGCAACAGATGATAGAGTCTGAATGAATTGAATCGAAATATAGCCAGTTTTGAAGCACCCATGAGAGTGCTTTTACAATTCTTCTATGGCAATTCACAAATCACTGGATACATAATGCTGTACTAAAAGGAATTTAAGCCTGTCAGGTTAATTACACAATATTAGGTACGAAAACAAACAGTGCAACACAAAACATAGCTACATCATTATTTGCAGTAAATGTTAACTCTAAATAAGTGCAACCTGTCCATAAATGCTTGCTATAAACTAATTAAAAAAATAAAATTTGATGGATAAACAATGAAAAAAAAATTCTCACCGAGAATTTTTTTTTTAAATATCAGCACTCATTTAGAGTTTGGGATTTGTGAAAGAAAGCTTTAAAAGGAGCAAACCTGATTGGCTGTGGCTGTTGCTGCGAAGGGGACACTTGTTGCAGGAGTTGTTGCTGCAGAGACAGTGGCTGACGTAGCGCTGTGCATCATGGGTACTTTCAGGAGGGGAACCATGGGAGCAATGAACAGGAGGGTGTAGCATTATGGTAATAGAAGTGGTATTTTGGCATGGTGAATATCAGAGCAGCAAGCCATCATGGGTTAAACCAGCAGATGGCATGCAATCACAATGCAAAGCAAGGAAGCATGGGAGAGAAATAAAAAAGGGAAAATAGCTTATTACAAGTACAATTAAAGGAAGTTTTAAAACATAATCAGTGATTCCCAGAAAGGCCAAAGCAGATTACTTTGGTTGATGTATTTATAAACATTTTACTTCTAACAATGGATCTTTCCCAATTCAGCGTCTATGGTGTATGTAATAATGGTTGCTTCTAAAAATGCGAAATTTAATGTCCGATGAAGTAAGAATATGTGATATTCATTTGTAATCATCATTCTAAAATATCAAAGGCTCAATATGTACACCTAATTTGGGATGGGATATTCTTTGGAATTAATTGTGGTTAAACTGATTTTTTTTTGTCAATTTGGGGCTGCTTATTTGCACTGGAATTGCTGGAGGTTGTGGTTTATTTGGGTTAATAAATGGCGGAGCAAAAATCATGGCCTTAATATAAATTCTAATACAGTTACTGTGAAATAGCCAGCCAAATTTTGCCAATGTTAATTTTTCTTTACTCTGAATGACCTAATCCATATGTCCGAAAGACAGACTTTTGTACCAAGGCATTGGAATATGTAGGGATAACTATATACTATTAAAATTTAACATCTAAGGGAATGCTAAGGTACAAATAATCATCACAAATAAATGAACATTTAAGTTAAAAGGATAATAAAGCAAGGCATTCTGACATTTGTTTTCAAAATACATCCATTTAATATTTTTTAAAATAAATACTTCTGGGAAACTCTGATAACTCTAACACACAGCAAAGAGGAGATAAAGGCACACCACTATGAAACTTTAAAACATTGATGAAATTAGCCTGCCTCTCTGACAAAGTAAGCTTTTTTTAATGCTAAACCATACAAACTATAAAGAGAAACAAAATACAGGTCATTAAAAAGTAGACTCGTACTTGTGGTTTATGTTTTGCAGTGGTTGTCTAGCACAGTGGTTGTTCTAGTCACATTAAAACGGTCATTTTCTTAAATAGAAAAGTACATTTTAAAAACCTCTACATTAACTCTAAAGCCAAATAAGCCTTCAGATCTACCAGTTCCTAAGCATTTCTACCATCTCTGAAATAAATTTCAAGCAAGTGAAGGTATTGTACATAATATAAAAGACAAATAAAAAAAGGTTGAAACCTACCAATACTGGTAGCGGGTGTCATGCACAAAACTGACCCTGCATGTCATGCAATGGTAGGTGGGAAAAGTGAATAGAGGAAAAGAAACAGGTTAGCGGTTTAGAGTTAACATTCAAAGTGAGATTGAAGCACAACCAGAAATAAGTAGGGTTAGTTAACACAGCCCTTTAGAGTCATTCACATTTTCAGCACTGACACAAATATATCTGACTTATTTTAAGCCAATATTATTCAAAGCTCACTCCTTAGACTACTTTCCACACTTTCTACTCATATCGACATGATTCTAATAAGAATGGCAGGTGAGAATGCTGCAGTGTCCTTCCCTAAGACCTCCAAGTATTTTACAGACATTATCAGGTTAATCCTCCAAGGTAGGACGTGAGTTTTTTACAGATGAAAAATCTGAGGCATAGTAACTACTCCAAGGTCATGCATTTGTGTGAGTCAAGTGTAAGGCTAGAAATAGAATTCTATTCCTAAATCCAGGTCAGGTTTTGTATTCACTAGATTACACTGACCTGTTTGATTGTAAAATGTTTTGTGTCAATAACAATATGAAAATAACAACAGTAATTAAGATTCCGTGTGCTCCAAATCAGAGGCTTGTAGGTCAGATGAATTTTAGATTACTGCTCGAAAGCCCTACAATGTAGGAAGACTGAGGTTCCTGTGACGGAATGACCTGGATGTCTATGTGATCTATTTTCTGCTACGAGATTCATTATGTTAAAGGAGTGGTGCCTAGCAATAAAGCCTAAACACTGTAGGGGCAAAATAGTGCGGAATCGGGGCTGAGTTAGAACCAGGGCTAGGGATTTTTGTCATGGCTGTTATTAGATGATTCTTGAGAGGGACTTTTGGCAAAACTCCTAGTAAATTTCAAGTTGGTGTCTAAGCAGGTCAGCGGGAGGTAGGAAGGGAGGATTTCAGCCCTTCCTTGCGAAGGGCTGCCTTACCTGTGGGCGGTCTTATTAATGTACTTGAATCAGAAAACTCTGACCATGAATAGTAATGTATGTCATAGAGTACTGAAAAAAGAACCGTATTGAAAGGAATTGTCTACTTCTGGGTCAGTTCCTTAGAATGAAATCAAGGTAATATAAGGATTTAGATAACTGAAGATTGGGTGCCATGTAGGTGCCAGAGAATTAGTTTCTAATGAACTTAGGTGTACCCATGGAGGGTTTTAGAAATGCCCTCTGAAATACTAGATGAAGAATCTGAGATGTGTGGGTCTTTATTCTCTCTGCTGAACTGTTAACACCTGAGGGAGACTTTTTGCCTGATCTGCATTTTGATGCCATTAACTAGTCAGGAAAAGAGGCTATTTAACTGGGCTACAACTGGATTCTTCAGCAAACACGTTCTAATATATCCAACTTAAAACACACACACAAACACCTCAAAATCCTGTTCACAACACCCTTTCTCCAGCCCCATCTTTCTAATCTTCTTCACAATCAAACTTCTGGAAAGTTACCTACACATAAATTTTCACTTCCTTGCCCCCATTTATTCTTCAATCCTCTCCAATTTGGCTTTCATTTTCACCGGTCCACTCAAACTGCTCTTGTCACCAAATAACTCCATATTTCTGCCATCAGTAGGAACTCTTTTATGTTCATCTAACTTCCTGAGTCTTGATAACATTTAGCACTTGGCCACTCAGTTTCTATAATAAACGACTTTTTCCTTGGATTTTCTGATAACACAGACACACACATTCACACAAACACACACACATTCTATATCTCTATGTGCTGGAGTTTTTAAAGACTCAGTTCTGCTTCCTTTTCATCTACTCTATACTTTTTCCTCGTATATCATTCAATCCATGATATCATTCAATCCAGTATTTAAATACTATCTATGAGCTCAAGGCTTCCAAATTTATGTATCCTGCCCAGCTCTCCTCTGAGCTCCAGGTGCTTTAATCTAACTTCTCACCTGGCCTTTCTACTTGGATGTCTGACAAGTGTCTCAACATGTCCAAGCGTTGATCTTTCCCACAGAATCTATTTCTCCACCTCAGGAAATGCTGGATGGACATCACCATCTATGTAGTAGCTCCAGCCTAAAATGAAAGTTATGCCTCACACTACTTTCCCTCGTGAGATTCCCTGGTCCAACTCTCCAATAAGCCAAAGCAATCCTGCTTCTAAAATGCATCTTGTGTTTGCCTGTTTGTCCATCTCTAGTGCCACTTCTCACCGTTATCTCTAGGCTCGGCTATGCAATAACATCCTAACTGGTCTTCCTGCTTCCATTCTTATCCTCCCTTTAGTCCATTCTCCACTCTGCTGGCAGAGTAAACCTTTCCAAATACAGGTCTATTCACTTCTCTGCTGGAAATGGTTCATTGCCTTCTCGTTGCTTTTAGGCCCCCTAGGGTCCAGTCTCTGACTAACTTCCCAGCTCATTCTATACCCCTCTCCCCCTGGAACCACGATCCAGAAAGATCAGCCTTTCATTTCTTTAAACCAAACACATCACGCTTTTGTCCCACGTTTGGGCTTTCTACAAGCTGTCCCCTCTGCCTAGAATAATCTTGACTCTACTCTTTTCATCTTCCAGGTCTCAAGGTACATGTCACTTCTTTAGAAAACTGTTCAATTATTCTTTTACTTATCTCCACATGCCATTGAAATCAGTTTTCTATTTTTAATCTTATTGAACTCTTTACTTTCTCTTTTTTCTTTTTTTTTTGTGAGGAAGATTGTCCCTGAGCTAACATCTGTGCCAATCTTCCTCTATTTTGTATGTGGGAAATCTGCCACAGCATGGCTTGATAAGCGGTGTGTAGGTCCACGCCCAGGATCCGAACCCATGAACCCCAGGCTGCTGAAGTGGAACGCACGAACTTAATCACTATGTCACTGGGCCAGCCTCAGAACTCTTTACTTTTCCATTCATAGTACTCATAAAAATTTTAATTATTTCTTTATATGGGTATTTATTGAACATTCATCTCTCGTCCTATATTGTAAACTCTGGGTGGGGGGCTGAGGTTCATGTCTGTCTAGGTCTATGGGGCACACAGCAGATGGTCACTTGGTTGAATGAATGTTCTCAGTCTTTAGTGAGAGTGTGTTGGGAGCAATTTGTTCTTAAAATTTATTAAAATACCCAGTTTGTGAATGATTTCACTTTAAAGTCGACCATGGCTGGATTCAAAGTTATCCCTATAAAAATTCCATGTTATTCTCTTGCATTCCAATGTGAAGGGGCTTTCTTGGAGGGCTTTCCTCTCATGCATGTGAATGTCATTGGGTTGCAAACCATCAACAGCAGCTCCTGCAGCCTTATGGGGCTAGGTTTGGACCCGTCACTTTGGCCAGTTCAGGATGTGGCTGAAATGCTCAACCAAATTGATTTGATGAGCCTCTCTCTCCATGTGGCCTAAAAGTGATATGAATATTGGAAACACACAGCTTTTGCCGTGTGTGGCTGTAAATGCCAGATTCTGGTCCTGATCATCTTTTCAAGCCCCATCTCTGCCTTTCCACCCCACTCCTGCCTGCCCCCACCACAGCCCCTTAAGTACTTCACACTATAGCGACAATGGACAACTTGCTATTCTTCAAATATACTCTTCCCAAACATGCTGTCCCCTCTGCCTGGATGCTCTTCCCCCACCGCTAAAATCTTCCTTTCAAAGTCCTAAGCAAATTTCTCCTCCTTTGGAAAGTCTTTCTTCCTCCACATCCTTTGTCGCCACCACCCACGGTACGTGCTGATGGCCAAATACACTGCCTCTTTCTCCTTCGCTCTCAAATAGCTTTGCTCATACCCTAAGGTAGCCCTTAACGTTTTGCATTATATTTGGTTTTCGCCTTGTCCTGAACTCCTTTGTATTCCCATTACTGGCTCTGAAACCCAGAACATACTATGTGTTCAAGAACTGTATGCTGAATTGAATGAGATAAATAAATTTTGCTGTGGTTATATAGATATAGTTTCCACGAAACACAGACAGATCTTTCACCAAGGTATGTGAAAGCCTTATGTAATGTTATGGTTTCTGATCTTAGGCAATATTTGTGCAAGCACTTTCCCCGGTTCTATTTAGTCCATATTTCCAATATAGTGAAATAAATCAAGGAAGGAGTCAGTGGGTTGTCTTTGTTCTGACTGGCTGAAGCATTTCACTAAGGCACTAATTCTATCAACAAAGCCTTCGCAAATGTTTTCTGCTTTATTTGCACAAATATTTCAACTCCAGAATCTGTGAGTCATAATTATCTGGATAATTCCATTAATTATATATTCCACCTTGCAGCATAGACACAGCCTCAGTTTTTCCATCTGCAAAATGCAAATAATTATGCCTGCCGACGGCAGAACTGTCTTGAAGAATAATGAGATAATGTCTATAAGAACACTTACAGTAACTCAGAATAAACCTGTCAGAGAAATGCCAAGAATTATTATGCTACTATTTTTGTAAGTATGTGTGGTTTTTGCCACATTCCTAACATAGCAAAGAAAAAGTATAACCATTAGGTTAAAATAATCCCTATCAAAAAAGGAAAAATCCCACCCACTGCAAATGTGCCAGGGCATCAACCAGGGTGATAATTACATTAGCATGGTTTTGGAGAAGAATCTCATGTTTTACATAATATTTTATATTAATATCTCCATGGCCTAGAGGCAGAACTCCTTAAATCCAAATTCACTTTGTGTCAATGGGAGAATTTTAGTAGCATATCAAAAAACTTCACTATGAATGACCTTTCAATAAAGGGTAACCTCCAGGGAAACATAAGAAGCTTTTCATTTCATATATGATAATTGTTAAAATATTTATAGAAAAATTAAAATCTTTGAGTGTAAAAATAATGGCCCACCATCTACCAAGTTACAAAAAATATTTTTGAACATCATCATTTAATTTGCAGAAGTTTGAAAAAACAACGAATGATTATTATCACTATCATTTTTAAATTAGGTTGAAAATGTGGTTTATGAGAAAGAAAGCCTGAAATAAAAAGCTAGAGCCAAAATAAACACTGATATTTCTTTTTGTGGATTTCAGCGGGGGAAAGATTATGCTACTTTTCTTTTAATAAAATTATTTTCTCTTTCAACATTTAAGAGAGACATGAACACTTCTTAGAAGTTTAAATACCATTTCAGAGCATGAGATCCACATGTTTGTTCACTATGATATTTATATCATGTTACAGATGTTCTAGTTCACAGAATTAAGTGGGCTAGGACCCACTTTTCTGCTCCCGCAGCCGGCTCACTTGAGGGTTGCCGGACACACTTGAACAGTTCTTAAAGCATCCAGCAGAGGGCGGAAGTGCACAACAACAGCAGCCAGTACAGCCTATCGGTCCTCAGTATTAAGCGTTTCATCAACAGTAATTAGATCATTGCACAAGGGATGTTATTCATTGTTGCTTTGCAAGTCTTAATGGTTTCCAGGTGAAATATTTTCAAATGAGGATTCTTTCAGTGATTTAACAAAGCAGTCATTATTGGATTGAAGTGTTAAAGTCGAGTTAGAGGGCTTCAGTCTTTTGCCAGGGCTTAGCCCCAGGGTTTCATAGGCGTTCCCTGGAAACGGTAGCGGCGTTATTATCCAGTTTTCAGAAACAGACTTGCCCTTTTATGGTTTCTCCTTGGTGTATTCTTCCCTAATTTTTTTCTCTTAAAATATCTAGTAATGAGGTCTATAAAATAAGACACTCGTAGAAATCACACAGGACCTTGAGGAAAGTTTACCTTCTAGTAATTACTTTACAAACATGTTACATCAAGTGGATTACAAGTACAAATACTGCTGTGCTATGACTGCACTGAAATGTCACTAATTAAAGTTCGAATAGGACAACAGCAAAGCCCCAATAAGTACTGACTTAGAGACCCACTCTACAGGTCTATGAGTCTATTTAAGAGAAGAGCAGAACTAAAATAAGAAAACTAAAGACTAAGAACCATTTTACTTATGTAATTTATATTTTTACTATAATAAATATTGTTAATGGGTTAATAATTCATTTCAAAGTGTAGATTTTATACAAAGAATACCATAGAAATATTTATTCAACTCCCTCCTACGTTAACTCCTGATATGCTCCGGGATTTAAGGAAATGGATAATCAACCTGAAAAGTCCAACAGTGTGGATTAGGATCAACAAACTGTCTTTGACAAAATTGTTATTCATGTATAATTACCTTCAAGTCACTAGCAGGGGATGAAAATTTTGACTTCAAAACTAAGAACTCAAAGGACATTCTTCTCACAAAGGCCTGAGTCACTCTCTTTTTTTTTTTTTTTTTGACACTCTAGCAAATTTTATTTATTTTGAGAATATAATCCCTGCATCTAACACAGACAAAAATGTCAAAACCACAGTCAGTTGATGGTGACTCTTTGTGTTTGTATATCGTGTATGTAGGTCTGTGGGCAGGGAGGTGGGCAAATGGAGGAGGGTTGACATGCATTCTACTTCGGTTCCTTCCCTTTTATCTGATGTTTATGCCAAGCTCTAAAGGAGAACTCTGTGGCCTCCACATAAGGCAGCCAGGTGGTGTCATGTCATGTCAATTGGACTGGTCACAGGGAAACTAGGCTCTAGGTCTTTTTCTCGTTAGTTGTGCCACCTTGGGAAGTCACTTTACGTTTAGGGGGCCTCAGTTTTCTCATCTGTAAAACAATAAACTGGATGAGGGGATCACTAAGAATCCTTAAACTGCAAGATTCCATGATTAATATAATTCACCTCTTAGTGGAATGATAGAGTTAATGCACTTTAGCACCTAATATTATCAGGCATTGGCTTAGAAACCGAGGATAAGAGCTCTATATATTTGTGAACTTGGTGGAAGTTGAGAAGGATGGTGAAAGAGATAGAATGGATGTAAAAATATGAGTAGAAGATTGCTTTAATTTGAATAGCCTCGTTTTTTTAGTGCTCTGAATAGGAATAGAAAAAAAAGGTTAGTATTTACTGGAATTGCTATTTTTAGGTCATTCAGGGTTAATGACAAATTTCAATTGTCACACATAAAAGGTCTTATTTACATAAACAATTCTACACGACATATGTAAATACAAGAAACCAAAAGGCCTAACTGCTATTTGCTACTCATGGGTTCAATCTGGCACTTAACTCTATAAAATATTTGGCTTTAGAATCCTAACAGTCTTTAGCTGTCATTCCAAGCAAGGTAAATATATCTAGATAGCTAGGACAATGATGAGTTTCAGGCTGTATTTATTGTACCTTTAAAAGCAAACTAGATGCCACCAAACAGCTTAAAGGAATGAGAAGGAAGCACATGACCGGAAGGGCACACGGACACAGGACTTGGAACTATCAGGGCACGTACCTGTCGGAATAAACGCCGTGTGTTGCTGCAACTGTGCACTGGTTAGAGCCTGCTGGTAGTGCAAGACGCTGGGATTAAAGACCGTGCTGGCACCGTTGCTTTTTTCAAGTGCTTGTCTCTTTGGTAAAGGATGAAGAGCACCAGGAGGAAAGGCCTAGAAGTGAAGAATTGGATAAGATATGTATAACTCAAAGTAAACACACCTTCAGTGTCCACAGAGATCATCAATTGCAACATTCTTTTTAAAAATGACAGCTAAGGAGATGCCTCTGCCATGCACCTTAATTTAAACAGCGGCAATGTCGAATGAGTGAGAATTTGTTATTGAGAGCGAAAGCATGACTTCTGTAACCCAAAAACGGTAGCATCTCAACTAAGGAAAAGAAAAACTATCAAGCAACAACAAAAAAAATGGCTTCAGCTTTTAAAATGAGTTAAACTATTCTAAGGGAGGAAAGAAGCATTTGTGTTATTATTAATACCTATTCGTTTCTTTAACTAAATGGCAATTTCTTGAATTTAAAGGTTAATAAGAATTATAATCAGTATTTTCCGAGCCAAGTAATTTAAATTTGCTTCACTTTTTTGGAAAAGGTATTAAAATTCGTTAGGATTAATTTATTTCACATATTACATATGAAAATGAGATGGCTAAACACCTTATTGAATTTTTTCATTAATTAATAATAATGATTGTTTGCAACCAATATTTTACAAGTAATACAAATCTCAGATGGTTCTCTGAAAAGCTACATGCAAAGCGAAAGGTGAAAGGTCAAAGTACCAGGTCTACAGATGCTTCGAGAGGTCGCTTCATTGCTTTGGCAGTCGACTGAGTCTTTTAATAACAGGCAGCGAGCACATGATGGCAGTGGGCCAATGGGATTCAAGCGAATTAACATACAGGTAAACAGCAAGCAGAGGTGCATCATGGGAACGGCATTGCATTGTGGATAGGTGAGAAGGAAAAAAATATTCTGAATGCAATATACAACGTACAAAACACTAGGCATGCACAACAACAAAAATGTTCTCTAAAGAAATGAATATTACACCTTAAATTAGTATTGAAGCAAAAATGCATCTACTATACCTTAGTTAAAAGCATATAAGAGAGTAAAATATAGATGTTTGAAATTCAGGAAAGTTAATTAAAACAGCAGCTTGCATACACACCATAGGCATTTTTTATATTGCTTCAGAAAAAAATGCAAAACTTTTAAGGGCCATAGGATTGAAGAACTTCTGATAAGTTAGTTTTCAAATACAAAATAATGAATGCACTAAGTATAAGATCCAAGTCGAAAAAAAAGATAGCTTTAACTTTTATAAAAATAATTTTTAATGAAGATCTAGCCTAACAAAATGAAGTGGCAAACTGAGACAAAAAATTCAGGCAAAAAAATATTCAAACACAAGATTATTTAGGCAAAACTGTTTGGGTTTGGATCTTAATTTTTTGTCTGAATCATGTGGATAATTGTCTCAATTCTTCTCTTCACTCTGCTAGTATGGATCTGGCAACGTGGAATAAGGCTCCAAATTTAACAAGTTTTGAATTTGAATAGTAAGTTTCTCAAATTTCCAACTTTTATTCCATCATACTGTTTCTAATGACTAACTTATCATCCATTCTATGTTTTCCACTACATTTGAAATTATAACTCAGTTTATCTCAAACAACTTACCGGATTACACTAAGAAAATACCCTTTAAAAAGGTATTTAGTGTTCTCAGGTATCAAAATAATTTATATTTAATAATTCTATTTGTACTTTTAGCTATGATCAGTGACCAACCCAGTTAATGAGATGTGGAACTCTTGGCTAGAACAAGTACAATAGCTAAAAATAGCAAACAGCTAAAAAATAGCAAAGAACTGCTTGAAATATTAGAAGTAAAATAATATCTTTAACTTATAACCATACTTTTGGGCAGATAATTTCATTTAAACAGCTGAAATAATAACAAATATTGATTGATTTAGACCACGATGAAAAAATTTTCCTATTCCTTGATAATTGTTATAAAAAAATCTAAAAATTCTATGATGGAATTCTGTGAAAATAAAGAAATTCAAAGGAATAGCTCCAATGCAAATAAAAAATGAAATACCCCTTTTCTATGTTAGCACAATAGGTAAATCCCTGAGGTTTGTATAACAAATATAAAATGTTATATTTTAAAGTTCTGAGTTAGAACTATGACATATGAAATAAAATGGTACTAAACCCTCAAAATGGGAAACAATTAATGATATTTTCCTTGGCAAATAAAGGATTGTTCATCATCATTTGATGATTCAGGGTTACAAGTATAGAGACGAAAGGAGATAAAGAGCCATGGGAGGAAAAAGACTAGAAATAAAGTGGAAGGGACTATAGGTAGAGAAGAGATTTAGAATGGCCAATGGAGAAAATGTTTTGGAAGGCAGTCTTGAGAGTGGCCATCAAATAATATGAAATCATTGTTCCGAAAGTAGAATTGTGAACATTTTCTAAAAACTAACGAGCTCCACAATAAGAAAGCTTCTTTGTACCGGATCTTCTTTCCTCAAATGTAAGTTCACCATTATGTAACGTCCATGACATCACTTTTGTTTAAAATCTTTCATTCCTGTAGAGTTTTACACTGCTAAATAATGCATTTTTTTGAGCTTAAATTAATCTGTTCTAACTATATAAGGTGACAGAGCCTGTTCTCATAGAGCACACTGAGAACATTAACTGGATAGTTAAACTCAAAATCATTTTGGCTTCCACTTTCTGGGCTCGATTCTTCCCTTCACTTTTACAGTCTTTGGGAGTTATAGAACCAATCTACTATTGGGTTGATCTTTTCTAATACGCTAACTAGAAGAGTGATTATGTCTCCAAAGCCTGGTATTTATGAACAAAATTTTGATTTAACAAAACATCATTTAATGAAGTCTCCAGGTATAAAAAGAAATATTAAATATTTCTCCCTAGGATAATCACCTGGAAGGTTTATGTTCTCTTTTTTCTGATCTTAGTTTGATAAAAAAATTTCCACAAGAACTTATAATCATCTAGGAATGTAAAGAAAAGAGCTCTAAACTGAGCTGGACAGCGGCAGCATCTCCCTTTCTACCCCTGCATATTGTGGGTTATCTTCACTAGATGCAAATATCTTGTCTTTTCAAGGAAATACTAAAGTCTTGGAGGATTGAGTATACATATTAACATCTTGCACACCTCACACTTTGAGGCACATATGTAGAATGTATTAAAAAAATCTGTATGGATGAATAATCATATTATAATACAGCTTTGTAGTACACAGATGTTCCGTTTTAGAGCATATTATTTGGCTGCTGGCACTTGTTTACCTATTGTGAAAGATCTTCAGGCTTAGAACAGACCTTAGAGATCACCAAGCCTAGTGTGTCTTGAGAGCTTCCTTAGGCACCTATGCAGAGAAAGAGGTTTTCTTTAACTGAGCCCCTACTATGCCAGACACTTGGCATCCATTCTTGCTGGCCTCACCAACATTTCTGATCCTCTGCCACCTCTGGGCCTCCTCCAGCTTTGTGTACATGCAGCCAGGATTTTCCTTTTCTGGATCAAGGAACAATCCAACAGCAAGTCAAGGCACACAAACCAAGGGCCCTTGCCAGGCGTTACAGGCAAAGACCAAGTCTGAGGAGTCAGGAAACCCTGATGACAATAATCAGAGCTGCCACTTTAACGTGGAACAAAAGGCTGTGGACACATAGGATGGAATTCAAAGTTCCTGCACATGTTTTCTTGAACAATTGAAACTTACCTAGCTGATAGCAGCTCGTCCTGATTTTTTTTTTTTTTTTTACAAAATAGGTATTTCCTTATGTTGCCCCATTTTGGTGTGCCTGAAGAAAGACTGCTTTCTTGGAGATCAGATACGCTTTGTGCTAAAATTACCAAAGAGAAGCTCTTTCTGGCTTATTTTCACATTTAAAAATTTCCGGTGAGGTTGATGCTCATGTGTAAGATGTGTTGTAAAAGAATAAGGCTCTAAAGGAAATAAATGTCTCCTTTTCTGGAATCAAAGCTTTAAAATCATTTTCAAGGTCCAATTAATCAAAACTAGGGGAAATCCCCAAACAATAATTAAAAAGTACACTACAGAAATTCTTTGTGTTCAGATATGGAAACCAGGTGAATGGAATACTAATATCTTCTGACTGCAGTTGTCACTCCCATTTGTTTTTTTTAAATAAGGAAATAAAATAATAGTTTTTCTTCAGTGTACTGAGTAATCTTGCTACTAGAGTAAGAATACTTGGACTTTATCCAACTGCACCTAGGCTGGTCTCAAACGAGCCTCTCACTTCAACTAAAAAGACATTATAGATTCAGTAATTTTCATGTCATTGTCAGAAAGAAGCTGGCTTTTGTTCTGGGACTACATTCCTTTGGGTTGTCTGACGATGCTGCAAGATCCCCTGAAATATCAGAACTCCAAATTTGGGCACAGTGTAACGATCCAGGAAACTATGGTAACTAAATGTACTGACATCCACTGCAATAACCTCTATGCATCTTGATGAGTATGACGTGAAAATGCGCAGAACGACCCATAGAAGTGTCCAGTCTCAATTTAAAGATATCGGGCTGAACAATGACCTGTTTGTGTAAATGGCCATTTCTTCTCTTATCCTCATCATCCCAGGTCATCTACGGTTGACATATAAGAGATGCATTATTCCTTCAATGCCTGAAGTGTATATTGATCACAAATGTTAGAACTGGTACTTCTAGGAAACCAGCAGATAAAATCAGGGCTCGGATAAATCCAGGGCTCAGCCCTAAGGTCACTGTTAGTACCGGTGGTTTGTTGTATTAACAGGTATTTGAGGTACGGGGACTAAGTTTTTATATTCCCAGAACCTCATCTTGTGCCCAATGGCCAGAGATGGCCATTGTGACCCAGGCTGAGCCAATCAGAGCATGCTCTTATTCTGTCCACAAGGACGCCACCAAAATGACCCTTAACTGTTTTTTTTCCTAATTAGAGCTGGTGTAGAAGATACTGTTTTCTCTCTTGTCAAAAGATGTAAGAATGTGTCCCTATAGGTGTCCAAAGCCATGGTCGTATCTTATGGAGGAGCTGCTTTTAGAGCATGGAGCTGATAGAGACCAAGAGAAGCAGAAAAGAGAAAAAACCTACTGGTTTTCAAGTTTCCAGATCCAGGCACCCCTGAGCCCTATCTTACCTCCACTCTCTTTGGAGGGCACTGCATGATCTGGTCAAGTCCAACTTTGTCACTTAAGCTGCTCCAGTTGGGTTTTTGTCTCTTGCAACTAGAGTTCTGACTAGCCTTGGAGATATCCTTGCTACCTAGTTATGACTTACAATATTAGTTCAGTAGAAAAATGTGTTCTTTATTCCCAAGAATCAACATACCAGTTAGGATAAATTGGGGCTGGCCTAAAAGGATGATTACAATGAAAAAAAATTCACTTCTCATAGGATGAGATCTTCAGGAAGCGGATGGTAAGATGGATTTCATACTGGAGAAACGTATAAAAGACCACATTTGACCTCTAAAAGAATTCCTTTTTCATCAGCACTAAGGAACCAATTTACTCTCATCTCCCCTCCTCTCCTCCTCCCACACCCCATTCTTCCCAATTATAATCAGTTTTGAAAACCACTCCTTTATTAGAACAAAAAAAGGAGAATTTCTCTATATTGTACTCACTCTCTTATGTGGATGCAAACATCCCCACATACATAGAAACTCACACATTCAGAAAAATCACTATGTTCAGCGACATAAGAATGAGAAGAACATAAGGGAAGAGCACGAAAGGGACAGGGACTCTGAGAAGAAACAGTGAGAGGGATGAAGGACCCAGGGCTCAAGATACTTGGAAATAAGCTCAGATTGGAAAGGTCTGTATAACCACACACGCCACAGTAAGTGGCAGTCATGTAAGGGTAGGCTCTGTGCCTTTCTGTCTGTATCCCTGTTGCTTATCATGGGGCCAGGTCTTTATAAACGTTTGTAGAAAGAATGTTGAATAGTATGAACTTGTTTGTATAACAGCTATCCTTGCCTTTTGATCAGTTATCAATGTATGAGGTGGTGGTCACTGGTTAGAACATTGTGTTTTAAACTATACCTTTCATCTCTGAAACTATATCTGCCTTTCCCAAGGGAGGACTGGCCACTGAGTCTTTCATGACCCACTGGACCCCATTATGCATTTCCATCATGTCCCTGAGGAGCATTATCACTCTCAATTACTAAACCCCAAGCTCCTTGAGGGCAAGAAAGCCTGCCTAATTTATTTACTCTACCCAGCAAGTGCCTGATGCATGGCAGGTCTCGTTCGATGTTTTGAATGAATGAATGACTGCTCAGTGCCTATCACACATTAAAATAGACTTCTGAGAAGCCAGAGATCTCACATGAAAACAAATTAATTAGAAACTTCTACAACCTAATATGGTGGTTCTCAAACTTTGCTTCATAATGGAATCACCTGGGAGCTTCAAAAAAAGGCCACTGCCCAGGCCACACACAGACCCATTAAGTAAGAAACTTTGGGAGAAGGGACTGATGTTAGAACCTTTCAAGACCCCTCAGGTACTTCCAAAACACAGCCAAGTTTGCGAACCAGTATTCTAGGCAGGTGCTTCTCAAATGTTAACATGTATACAAAACACCTGGGGATATTTTAAAATTTGAATTCTGATCCCAAAGGTCTGGGGTGGGGCCTGAGAGTCTGGAGCTGTAACAGGTTCCCAGGTGATGCTGATGGGGCTGTGGCTGGTCTCCAAGGGGCAGCACAGTGACTCAGCGCCTCAAGGCTGGGTTACAGGCCTTTTTGTTCGTTTGTTTTTAGCACCAGCCAGTACAGCTCCATTTTCATCTGTCTCATGACTTGATGTTCTGCATAAAATTTCATTTAGGGGGCAAAAGTTCCAAGCATCGCCTTTGTGATGAGTAAAAGAAGAGGGGAAAAAATAGGAATAGGGAAGAGCCAGCCGCTGATCGGTCACCCGTTGCTAGCTTCTCCGCCGCGGGGCGGGGGGTTGCTCTCTGGCGTGCTGCGCCGCTGTCTAGTGCTCAGCTGCAGTACTCCAGCTTCCTTTTCTTAAGCTAGTGCCCATCTTCCTGTTCATTCCTAGGCCCCTGAGCCCCACTCTGAGGAAGAACCCACACCAGTCCAGTCCAGTCTCAGGGCGGAACGGGACCCGGGCACGGGCGCTCGCACATCGCCTTTGGTTACCTGCGCCTGAGGGATTTACTTATTGTGCTGAAGAAGGGAAGGAGGGGGGAACAAAACAAAACATAAAGGGGAAAACCACAACAGAACTTAGGCAGCGGAGCAGCAGGAGTAGCAGCCTTCCCCAGTTCCCAACTGTGGAGGAGAGCGTCCACGTCCCCGCGGCGGGGCCGCCGCCTCGGCGGGCGCGGGGCCGAGAAGGTGCGCGGCGGGCGCCCGCACTTACCATGACTGTGGCCGCGGCCGCGGCTGCCTGGGCGGCCACCGCGGCTTGGTTGGCTTGGTGCTGCGCAGCTTTGATTTTGGCCTGCAAGTGTGCAGGAGGGTGAAAATATTTGCATTTCTCCCTCATGCAACGCCCCTTTATGTAATCCATACAAACGGTTACGCTGTTGTCGTTTGTGTCGATCATGGTGCTGTCTGCGGGGTGTGCAAAGCGGCAGTCGGTCTCTCCCCGGGCACAGTTTCCTCGCTGGAACTCTCGGCATACCTAGGACACGGGGGAAGAAGAGCAGACGATGCAGAAGGAAGCCTGGTGGCCGCCGGAAACTCGACCTCTGCAAGCGCAGCCATTTATGTTCAAGAAAAAGAAATGCTTTTCCTTTCTCTTAATGCTGGCTTTTGTGCCATTTACAATAAAAATTTGATTACCAGAACTCAAGTAACCAGAGTCCCTGACAAGTTAATTTGAGTTTTGCTTCATCCTCTTTTCTGGAGTGAGAATCTATATTGAGAAAAATAAGTCAAAATCTGCAGCTTAGCTAAAATAACAAAGAAAACCCAACAAAGACCCCATTGTCTCTGGGTATGTATATATATATACACATATATACATATATACATAAATATATACATAAATATACATACCCAGAGACAATTATATTATATTTTGTATGGGTTATATTATAATTTGGAGATTATATATATATATATAACTACATATATATATAATATGGACATCTACATATATCCAAATCTCCTACCCTGACAACTCTGGGATGCTACAGGTTTTTTGCATGGGGGGATAATTTCACATTAGATGAAGCCATCAGGTCATAGCTGTACAACTCTAAAGAAGGATCAGGGGAAATGACCAACTTGTTCCTCCTCTCTGAGAATGGGAAGTGGGGGTGGGGTGAATCTGAATACTCCAGTTTTCCCCTAGGTCTCCCCTGCTCTACAAACATAACTTATGCTTATAATCATAAATCAGAAAAACTACAATATCTAAGATGCCAAACTTTCATTTAAGGTCACTATATTATTGTTTTTGACAGCACAGAAAGAAGATAAAAAAGTAAAGATAAAAAGGAGAGAAATATGGGAAGATATAAAGGGAAAGAAATAGAGGGAAGTAGAATAGAGTTTGAAGTGTTGATGTGTTGTTTCTTTTTTATTCCTTAATCCTTAGTTATCCTGAAATCTCAAGTAACTAGAATACTCCATCCTGTGAGAATTATGGTGGATCAAGAGTTTACTGTATAAAGAAAGTTTTCTGGAGAACTTAAAAAGTGGATTCTTAATTCTGTCTTGAATGTTGAGAATATGAATAACATATATACATAATATTTATATTTATAAAATCATTAGCAGGGAAGAATAACTAGTAAAATTGTGTTATTTTTTTTTTAGGCTCCAGTTCCAAAGTCAATATGTTTAAGTGATGGTCCACATCTTGGTTGTTATATGAAGGGTCACTGACATGACATTCAAGCCTTGTGAAAGTCAAATGTACTTGGGAAATACAGTTTCACCAACCAGTGGTCAAGTGAGTTTGAAGGGTAAACAGATAAATCACAAAATTGTTAATTGTTTCCTCCTACTTTGGATATTAGCCAACTTTCTATATTTAGTTCATAAAATGTACAAAATAACAATTACTAAGATGTTCCTACAGATTCTGAGTAAGCCTTCCTCTGTAATTGGAATGACTCCAGTCTGAGACTGCACCAGAGGCGTAGACCAGCCATCAAGCATTTATCAGGGGTCTCTTTGGTAGCTGACTTCATTCCTGGTTGGAGATGAACTGAAAGCTGCTCTGCTCAAGTCACTGTGAATCATTTTTCTGTATGTCTTTGTCTACCAGTCCTGTTGGGAAGGACGGTTTGTTCCCAACTTGGCTGATTTAATTTGTTTTTTAAATCACACAGTCACGTACGGAATACTAAAGCTCCCTGGGTCCAGCAGGGGGAGCCCAAAACACTTTTCCAGTTCCAAGAAAAGTCTGTTCAATATTCACAGGGACAAGCTACATCAAAACAGTAGCGATCCGAGTTTATAGTCTCTTCATATACACCAGATTGAAGCTGATATTAGGCAGCAACATTTTGTTGCCCTCAAGATTTATTGGGTAAATATTTAAACAAATGTACATTGAAAGAACATTCTCGAATGACCCAACATTAAAGCACAGTGTGCATCCTGATCATACATATATCGCCTAACAACTTTAATCAGTAGTGGAATTAAAGGAGCCCTTTGAAAACTCTATCAGAATCTTTACACACCCATATAAAATGCTCTATTAAATAGCATAGGATATAATAGTGAAGATAAATGGATGAATCCTCTAACTTTCATTAAAGAGAAATTTTACCCAGTAAAGTACAGGTGGGTTGGCTTGACTCATGACTTAAGATTATGTTTTATAAATATATGAACTTGTTTTCTTGACTTTTATAGAACACTTGAATTTAAGTTAAAGAAAATATCTCAATCAATAAATTTTCCCAGCTTCCAGTTTCCCCCATTTACCAACAACACAACCAGCGCTGATATTCTGGAACATGCTAGAGCAGCCATACTAGCTATTGAATAACTAGTATTCAATATTGAAATATGATCATACCAATTGGTCAATATTCATAGTCCTACTTACTCCCACCCATGTCCCTAAGTGTCCCCCATAGCCCTGGTTTCCGGGCTCCTGACTTGCCCATTCCCAGACCTTTCCATGATCCAGCAAAGGTTAATGACAGGCACAGCTGGAGGCCTTCAGGAGCCATCTCTATGGCCTGCATAGTGATTGATTCAATGTTCCATTTGTTGTTAAATATTTTGCCCCTAAACACACATTCTTTGCAGCTGATTTTTGTTTGTATTAAACTTATTCTTTTCCCATGGACTAATTTCCTTTATACTTGGCCTTAAATTCAAACCATAGAGTTATGAATGCATGGCTTTTAGATGAATGTGTGTGTGTGTATGGCTGTTTTGCAAGGCCAAATTAATATCTTACAAGCATTCACTTACATAGAAGTATGTACACTTCTACCACAAATGCATCGCAAACCACAAATATAATTGAAGTACCTCCAATTTGTCAGTCCTGAGAAGTTTCTGAGTTGCAGTTGAGCCCGGGACAGTGACTGGTGGACTTCCGGGAACAATGACAGGTGTGGTGGGTAGAATTTCCGTTGGGACTAACCCAACTCCAGGGGTTACAGGTGCTAAGTAGGGAGCAAAGCTAATCGCCGTATTCGTCCCTATGGCGGGACCTACAGGAAAAGTGGGCTGTTAAAGGAAGATAACATAGGATAAAGATTTCTTTAGAATAAAACTTTAAAAAATCACCAGCAAGTGTCATTTGAGCAAAATTTATTCATCGTCTACAAGACTCTTTGTGTTAGTTGCATAAATCAGTGCTGAACCGTGAAAGTTCATTAAACTTCCCTGTTTTGTTTTGCTTAATAAAAATGAAATCCATATAGATCCTCTCTTCCCCAAACCATACAAAAATATGGAAGAACATCACAGAAATCTAATTACAGAAAACAGGTTAAACTTTTATTCCTATGAAAGCATTCTCAAGAAAAGAAAATAATAATTTTCACTGTAATTGCTCATCATTCCAGACTATTGAATGTTATAACACTAAGATAGGAAAATCTATGGAAAACTGACTGACTCATAATCTTTGATTTCTCCTACATGTCTCTCAAAGGGAGCGGAATAAAGAAAAACCTTGATTATAGCCTGATATTCAAGCTGACCAAGTTTATACATTCTCATAAAGTGGGGATTATTTGGGATTTTATTTTGCTCAGACTTACCAGTATGTTTCCATATTCTGTCATTAGCATGTATATTCTCAAAATTCATACACAGTTTTCATATAGATCTGCTATTTCTTGCTCTAGTTCAACTGTCTAGATCCGACCTTCCCTTCCTGAAAGGTTGGATGGACGAGCTTGAACTTTTCCAATGGCCAATTTTTCAATTGGCCATTACAAGTTGGTTTGGTTTCCTAGGCTACAAAATCGACACAGCACTGCTAAAGGCCCAGAGTACCTTATTAAACTTCTCTATCACTATACTCCTTATTCAGGGATAAGAAGAAATATGTTGATGGGATGATTATTTTTAAAAGCTCCACCTAAAAATATGCCTTTCAGAAAGGAAACAATGTACACTTAAGAGAACAACAAACTTTGCTTCACTTTTAAAGAACCAATATTAAAAATTTAAGATGCTGGATAAAGATTTTTCTTAGAATAAATTTTACAATGATTTGGAACTGAATAATTTTTTGTTTGTTCATTTGTTTTTAGTTATTGGATGCCTTTTAACCTATTTATGTTTAGGACTAGAGTTTTCAGATATTTGCAATCACATGTTAATGCAATTTTATGCTGTTGGCCGTGTCATGTTACTTCTCTATTTGTACATCGTGGGTAACATTCTTGTCGTCTATTTTTGGCTCTGAATGAGTTGTTGAACATATGGGAAAAATAACAATCTATGTTTATTAAACAATTTTTTGTTGACAGCAATAACAGAAAAATACCTCTTACAAATGATCATGTTAGAAAACAGTGAATTATTGATAGTTTGTGCAGGGAGTTCTTGGAGAGGCTGAAAGTCTTTACTGAACTGGCTGGGGGCTGAAAGAGGTAATTCTAAAGGTCTTAGAGGGCTGAGCTGCAGCACTCCCACCAGGGGCTCTTAGATCTTTTATGGCTCAGACTTAAAATTCACTTTGAGAGAAAGTTGCAACATGAGGTCTCAACATGGGAAATAGATGGCAGTTAGGATTTTTCTCTTCCTTGACTTTCTACAAAATTTTATATGTGTATGTTTTCCATTTTCAATCCATTTGAGTCAAATTATAGAAAGTTGTGGTTTTCAGTGACTATAGCTTTTATAATTTAGTACTATTGAAAAAAAGCCAAGTGATTTAAGTGGTATAAAGACTATATAATATTAGGATTGAAAAAAATCAATTCTGAAAGGTCATAAATCACAACGGATCGGTGACTCAAAGACCCAGCTATATCAGAAATGCCTGGGGGGTATTTCAGAAATAGAGATATCACAAATTCTGACTCAGTAGGTCTAGGCAGGGGCCTTGAAATTTACATTTAAAAAAATTTACTACATGATCTGATGTGTGGCTCAGTTTGGGGACCACTGTCATAGGAGAGGAGTGAAAATAAATATTAAAAACCTTGTACTAAATGTGCAGTTTAACCCAGAGACTAATTATCAAATTAAACAGGTAAAGAAAAGAGCCCTCTCCTACACCTCCGTTTTTGACTTTCTATAGAAGCAGATGCCCAACCCTTCCTCCCGTGGATCATTTGAGGCCAGGGTCAGCACGGTGACACAAACACAGGTTGTACCTTGACTGTCAAGAGGATGTCAGAATCTCCAAACTCATTTCAACAAATCTACTGCAATTAGCTAAATTTCGCTTTCCAAAATATGTCACTTGTTCATCTAATTTAATGATCTAAAATGAATGTTGCCATTTGTTTTATTGGTAATAGCTGTAAATAGTTCACAGAGCGTAATATTTAAAAGTAAAAACACAAATTTTAGGTTAAGAGAGACTTGAATTCAAATACAGAGCTCTGCCGCTTATTAATTTTTTTCCTGGGCAGGAAATTAACCTCTTTGAGCTTGTTTTTTTCTCATCTGCAGAAGGGAAATAAAATGACTTAGCTTAAGGAGTTGGGCTGAACAAGGTGTTATTTCTCCTCCATTTCCCACGTCAGAACTCAATAAACAGCAGCTTTGTTTAACAGTGTAAAAATTATTATTAATAAAGTTTTTTTCCCCAAAATTATTCATTGATTCTATAACAGGAGTGAAATCAGCATAGCAATATAATAGACGTATAAAATCTAATTTAATTATAGCAAATATCTTCTGCTTTTTTTTTTTTTGTGAGGAAGATTAGCCCTGTGCTAACATCTGCCAATCCTCCCCTTCTTTTGCTGAGGAAGACTGGCCCTGGGCTAACATCTGTGCCCATCTTCCTCCACTTTATATGGGACGCCGCCACAGCATGGCTTGCCAAGCGGTGCATCGGTGCATGCCCGGGATCTGAACCAGCAGACCCCGGGCCACCGCAGCGGAGCGCGTGCACTTAACCGCTTGCGCCACAGGACTGGCCCCAATATCCTCTGCTTTTTGAAATAGGGGCTGGGAAAATATATATTTTGTTTTATGTGAAACTGAAAGTTAAAAGTTCATAGGCTTTATGAAGATAGATTCAATGAGATATTTTCTCTTTTTTTATATGGAGTGTTTTTCGTTGAAGTTGATTAGTAAAAAAATAGTTATAGTAATTTTCAGAGATGGGCACTATATTATTATTATTATTATTATTGACAGTAATACCTTACATCTGTGACAGGTTCGGCTGTTTTCAAAACATTCTCACACGCGTTGTCTTCCTTAATCTTCTCGATATCCGTGAGAAGCAAGTGTGGCAGTGCGAGTGGCACAGTCTTATAGGTGAAAGCAATTTAAAGTAGAGACTAGATGGATTACCCAAGGTCAATGCTACTGGGGCAGAGTCAAGGCAAAACACCCAGGACGCCTGGCTCCCAGTCTGGGGCTATTTCCACTTCTCTGCACTCACTAGATTTTTTTTCCACAGAAGAGGAAAAAACACCAGCTGCCCTTCTGTCTTTGGAGAGTAAAGAGAGTGCTGGCAGGGAACTGTGTCCCACAATCAACCAGATAGGAGGTGTGGGGCTGCTCTGAGTAGCTGTGTGGGGCACTGCTGTCCCAGAAAAATGGTTCTCAGATCCTGGATTCAAGTTAAACTCTGGAGGTAGAGTCTAGGCCGACAACAATATATCCTGGTATCTGAATTCGGTTCTTGCTGGCAGCTGAGAAAAGAGAAGGGCAGCACCTCTGAGTGATTCTGGTACTGGAAGCACACCAGCTAGGGCTTGGGAGAATTGGCCCCGTGGTTTATGCAGAAGGTCTGTTGCCAGGCTGTCTGAGACAGGATCCATTTGGTCCTCATCATCTCTCAGCACTAACTGCAGCTAGGGAGGCCAGAGCACAAGAGCTGCAGAAAGTCTTCTGGAAGAAAATCCCTTCTGAAATGCTGGTCTTGCTATTTCTTCCCTCTGTACTTCACTCCATGTTCCTGTGTTTCTCTCTCCAGTTCCTCACTCTCCACTTTTCTTTCTCAGCACGTTACATCATTAGATCCAGGTTCAAAGATCACACACTCATAAACGGGTGCACACACACGTGTGTGTGTTCTTTGATATTTTGTAGTTGCAAGGAAGGACCAGTGCTGGGGGTTAATGACTAAGTGGCCTGAGCTATTTTATGGCTCTAAAATTTAGTCAATTGACTTTTTGAAACAAGAGTGTGAGAGTTCATACATTTAGAAAGCTTTGACTTCAAAGGGTAGGTATATCGGCACTTAAACTGAAAGGCTAAAAACATGGCATCCCTTAAGACTCCTCTCTTTGCTCCCAGAAGCATCTCTGGAGGGCAGAATACTCAATGCAAGACCTTGTCCCCAAGGGCTGGATCATTTAGGCTCTTAAATCTCGATCCTACTATAGGCTACCCACCCACTTCTTTATCTTGAGAGTACATATGAAGGTTGTGTGTGTGTTGGGGGGCAGCATGCTGGGAAGGAAAGGAAAAGAAGAATTACTGTTATATCCTATCAGGAATTGGGGAGAGAAACACTGCTAGGAAGAATAAGGTGAAGAGGACTTTTCAAATATAGTGAATTTGAGACAGAAGAGTGATAGGAGAAAAGAATGGTTTGCATTTTCATTCATTCAATAAATATTTATTGATACAGACATGGTACCAGAACACTGTGTGTACATTTATTCAACTTAAACCCTAATAGGAAAGAACAAACAAACAAAATTACAGTTCATTTTTATGGATAAGCAGGAATGAGGAGGCCTCACTGATAGTGATGGAGATTGGAGGTGGGTCGCAGGGGATAGATTTGGAGTCCTTATGAATGAGATGAAGTTAACATACAAAGAGTAGCAGGATACTTCCAGCAAGAGCAAAGGCCATGAGGCAAGAGCTTTGTGTGTTCCCAGAACTGATAGTTTGGTTTGGTCTCATTGCATACAGGAAGAGTAGCCCATGATGAGTTGGTGAGCCGGATGGGGACCAGATCACAGGATATTATAGATCACAGTCAAGATTACATGTTTAGGCTTTGTCTCCAGGGAAATGGGAAAGCATTCAAGGGTTTTTAAGTAAGGGAGTACTATGATGCCATTTATGTGTTAAAAAGATTCCTCTGGTTGCTGTACGCAGGATACATTGGAGTAAAGCAAGAGTGGAAATTGAGAGATGAGAAAGGAAATGGTTAAAAAATATTTTGAAAGAAAGGTGGATGATGGCTCAGATGAGGGTGCTGGGAGGTAGAGAAGTCGATAGACTTGAAGGCAGATATGACAGGACTTGCTGATGAACTGGATGTGAGAGTCTGCTTGGTTTTGGTTTGAAACTGCTGGTTGCATTTACTGAGATGGGAATATAGTGAAATAAAGAATTTGGTCTCGAACATGTCAAGTTCCTGTGAGAAATTTAAAAGTGAGTCCCGTAAGAAGTGGGAAACATGAGCCTGGGGCTCGGAGAAGAGGTCTGGACTGGAAATATACATATGGGAGTCCTCGGCCTGTAGATGATTTATAGCCAAAGGAATGGATGGGATCATGAAGGAGAGGGTAGATAGAGAGAGATGTCCAGCGCTGGGAATCTGAATATATGGCAGCCTCAACATATAGTAGAGGCACATGGTGGGGGAAGGAGACAGAGGAGGAAGGAGTGATTAGAGAGGAAGGAGTGTTCCACACAGGAGGGATTGATTACATGTGTTGAATATTGCCAGGAGTTCCAACAAATACAATGAAGGCAAAACTGGCCATTGGTTTAGCAATATGGAGGTCATTGGTGAGAGAGTTCAGTGGAGTGGGTTCGGAATGGATGGGAGACAGAGAGAGTGGAAAAGATATCCATAGCCCTTTAGAGAAGTTTAGCTTAGAAGGAAACCTAAAAATGGAATGCTGCTTGCTTATCAATTTATTTGTGGTAAGCAATTTCTGCATGTATTAGTTTCTTGTGGCTGGTCTAACAAATTCCCACAAACTTGGTGGCTTAAAACAACACACATTTATCCTTTCATAGTTCTGGAGGCCATAAGTTTGAAATCAGTTTCATTGGGCCAAAGTCAAGGTGTTGGCAAGACTACGCTCCCTCTGGAGGCTCTAGGGAAGAATCCATTCCTTGTCTCTTCCATCTTCTGGTGGCTGCTGGCATTCCTTGGTTTGTGGTCACATCACTCCAGTCTTTGTCTCTATGGGCACATTGCCTTTCTCCTCTTCTGTGTGTGTCAACTCTCCCTCTGCCTCTCTCTTATAAGGATACTGTGATTGCATTTAATCTTGGGGGATTTCCGCATCTCAAGATGCCTAACTTAATCACATCTACAAGGACTCGGTTTCCTTATAAGGTGACATTTATAGGTTCTAGCTACCTTTGAGGGCCATTTTTTGCCTACCACACTGTACTAGGTCACTAATTCCTTCCTGAGACTCTGGAGTTATGTGTGTGTCTAGTTGATGATTTTTAAGTTTATCGCATTTTTTATCCTAATACTTTTTGTGATTTAAAAACTTCTATTATAATATTTAAGTGTAATATTCCTTTTTCATAGGGTAATCATGATTATTAACTTCTAATTAATATTTGAAACAATACATAAACATAACTTTTTAAAAAAGTTCAACTAATAGTTAACAACAGGAATGGAATTTTCTGAGTAACATTGCCATTATTGAATACTAGGGTCAATCCCTATGAATTCTAAATAAATAAGAAGTGAATGATTAAAATGAGTGAGACATAATGCAATGTTACTATGTTGACCTTGGTGGTTCTAAACTTATTCCCATAGACACTATTTAATATGTATAACTAAATTATTTTAGCATTTAGGTAATTTAATAAAATAATTTATATGCATGCATCAATAAAGAGAACCACAAATTATACATGTGTGTGGTTTTAAATAGATCCACTTAAATGCCTATATTCTGTGTTAAATGTGTTCAGAACTCTATCTGTGTTGTCCTTACATCTAGGCTAACTCCTACTCATCCTTTAGGACGCGCTTATTCGGGACCTCCTCCAAGCAGCCTTTGCTGCTTCATCCCCAATCATAATGACCTGTGCCTGAGTCTGTCCACCCCCAAAAGACTGTATCTTATTTATCTCAGAGCCCCCTGCACCTGGCACTTTTTTTACTCTGGGCAGAGCTTGTGCCTGGCTACTTTGTGCCACCATTCTTGAGCAGAAACCTTGAGACAGCAGAATTGCTAACGATCTGCCCAGATTCTCTCCTCTCTTCCTGGGTCACCCCCAACCCGCCCCGTCTCCTCTCACAGCCACACAATAAGAAAATTTAACTCACTGGTAGCTATCCCTTTTAATTTAGCAGCTTTCAATAACATAGAATTTTCATACAATAAAGACTGATTTTTAAACAATAGTCTTTTGTGTATGTACCTTTTTAAAATAGCAAATTTCACTCACTTCACTGGCTTTGTTTCTTAAAAAATTAGCTTTTTTCTGACAAATGATTACAAATGTAAATGAAATCCACTAAAGCCAAAGGCACTCCTTTCCCCCAGTGCCTCATTCCTAAAACGATTTCCAGACCTTTAAGGAAGTACTTTCAAACACTGAGAAATCAGGGAGAAAATATCACACAATGCGCATTCATAGACTGAACTCTCTTGGGCATTTAATCTTGTGGTTCTCTCCACGGCTGCCACCCCTTTGCAGGCCTCTGAGGGGCAGTAGGCGTGGGTGGGTAATGGAGCTTTCTTTGAGGCTGCTGTCAGGCTCCAGGTGGAGCAGACTGCAGACAGCGCTGTGGTCAAGATGTCTGCGTTTCAGTCCCAGCTCCACAACCTACTAGCTGCATGGCATTAAATCATTGGACTTCTCTGGTTTCTCATTTGCCTCATCCTTAGAATGATACCATTGAACTAAATAATCTATCTGCTACATCGCTAAAAATGTTTTAGGCATCAAAACCTCTTTACATAAATCATCAATTCATACTCTAAATGAAAATGTAGAACCATTTCCATTCTAAGATGGTTCAAATATGGGGCTTACTGGTGAGAAAGAGTTGGAGTGACAGAGACTTCCCAGATATTGATTAGAAATTGTCTTCGCCTACTGTTTCCACACACATTTTTCCATTTAAATAATTTTTTAAAACCCTATTTTTAACATCTATTTAGCTTCAAAGCTATTTGCCTTAATTTTAGCCTGAGACAAAGTAGAGGGAGGTCAATGTGGCATTGCTTGTACCAACACTTTAATCACCAAGCCCATCATTAGATGCGATGTACTCACCACTGGATGAAGTGGGGTTCCTGGAAACATAAATTGCATCTGCTGGGCAAGCATCGCTGCTGCAGTTTTTTGCTGGATCAAATTGTTCCTCCCATTAATTTCTAGTTGAGTTTTTAAATGTGTTGGAGGGTGAAGATACTTGCAGTTCTCTCTTGAACAACGGCCCTGTAAAACGAACATTTTTGTTTTAGAACTGTTGTAAGTAGCTTTCTCATTCTGTTGTCAACCATTTCATAATCGCTCCATATATACAAAGGCAAGGATCCCAGGTGTATATCTGTGTGCCCATGCACGCACATGTGTGTCTGTATGCATGCATATGTTGGAACAAACAACAGAGTTGGAACATACATGAGTGAATCAGGCATTAGATGATTATCAACCTTGCTCAAACCTGTTGAGCAAAGAAGCTTCCTGAGATTTTTTTGTTGTTGTTTTTAATGGATTCTAACTCTGACAACAGACTCTAAAGAAATGTGACTGCTAAGAGTAAAGCGTGGGCAGTGTGGAAGGCCATCAGAGGAGCATATTTATTGTGACTTATCAAAAGGAGGCTTTGAACTTGCTATATATTGGTTTGTGCATGCTGGAGTGAAGACAAAATATGAATAATTATGTGGCAAATTTGCGCAGCGGGGACAGTAATAAGACCTTGAAATGTGTATTCTGGATTGGCTGAAGACATCCCTAATTCAACCTATAGAAGAAGAGGCATTGGTATTATAAGAGTGGACATGTCTTAGTAATAGACGCACAGATGAAATTTCCAGGCATAAACTCAGATAATCACCTGCAACTGATTAGTTTGCTCCATAAAAGCTAATATGCCATGTCCCTGCCCCACTCCCATGACATCTGTATCAAATTTAATGTCATGATGTGACATAGTGAAGAGCATTTATTGCTTCAGTAATATTTGGACGTTAAAGTTAGTAGAGTGAAAAAAACATTAATTAGGTGACAGGTGTGCATAAAACCAGTCTTAAAGAGTAATTGCAAATGGTAGTGTTTATACTGAATTCCCAAGTTTTCAAAACTACCAGTTGAGAGGATCATGTTGATGCGTGAATGATGCAATTTCTGGAGAAAGCAGAGCAAACTGTGTTAGCCAGCATGAGTATTATCATTCCCTAAAGAATTAGTCTATTTGCAACCAAGAAAAGAGAATATGGGTTTGTTTACTGGATATAAAAATAATTTTAAAAAGCAAGCTTGGTGGATCTGGGGAAACAAATTTGTTTATAGTCATCGTAATTCTAAACATCTGGAGTCCTCACTCTGTCTCCCGCTAATTTCAGCTGCACTTTTGGCAGTACAGGCTCTCTCTCTAGAGTGTGATTCTTCCTCCACCACCATGGAGAAGGGCAGATGTCGGTCCAGGCTCAGTCCTGGAGGTCTGGGCTCATCAACCGATGCTGTCCTGAGGCCCCACTGCTAGCAACATTAGAGATGTGTTACCCTCTGCAGGGAGGACACAGAGGCGGGGTGCTGGGGACATCAGAAGGAAAATTGGTCACATTTTTGCTAATAAAATTCTATAACAATAGGCAACGTCAGAGTGTCTCCTTAGTCTCAAGATCATATTGTAGGTGTTTCATTCAGCTTCCTATGTATGAAACAGACATCCCAGGTCAAGTATTGGAAAGTCTATCGTAAAGACACAGGTAAAATGGAACCACACCTGAAAAATAATCTAACTCAAAGCAGTCTAGGAATCTCTCTCTGCTTCTCTCTGCAATTTTTGGGGATAATTTTTTTATCCTAATTTTACATTGTTCATTGCTTTGTGACTTGCCAGAGTCACTCTAGCCCTACCAACTTGCTTCGTATCTCTTATTTTACTTCCCTTTCTGTCCTCCCTTGACAATTGCCTTAGTTTCTCAGTTTGCTCAAACCAAATCTCTAAGAAAACATTCAGATTAGGCCAGTTCCTACAACATAAGTATGTGACCAGTCTCTGGATTGGCTGCCTTTATGTCAGGTGCCCAAGTATGTTCTTATCATCGATGATAGGACGTGGTCATGGGATACAGACACAGCTACATCAGTAGGGGTGGGGGAAGATTGAACGGGATGACATTTCTTATATAGAGAATAAGCCATCCTAGGCTTCTCTCTGACAACCTCAACCCAAACCCTCTTTAAGCACAATCACTTCATTTGGAAGCTGACACCCAGAAAGGCTCATGTATACAAGGTACACTTACGGGCCTATGTGCACAAACGTACAGATGGGCCTAATGGAGGGATTCAGGAAATCAGAATTCCATAGAACGGAGATAGAATTAGTGAAACATCCACACGTCTACCAGTTTGGCTGTTAAGTTGTGCTCACTCATATAATTGTCAATTTGATCACTAGTTTTCTAATATAATACTTTGTAGCTACATGTAAGAATTTCGATTAGGCTGGAAAAATATGGTTTTCTTGTAAATGCTGTTATTTCTTGATACAACTGGGACTCTTAGGGAACTTCATAAACTATTTTCAGCCAATAGAACATGATTTACAACATCAAATTGTAATTTATTGATGAAAGCTTCTTTTTCATGAGAATTAATGTAATTTCCTAGTGTCCTTACTTACACACTTGGAGTAAGGTATATTATTGATCACCCACATGCCAGACAATTTATACCTGGTTATCTCATTTTCTCCTATTTTACAAAATGGCAGATGAGCTCAGAAAGATTAAGAAACTCTCCCAAGGTCATATAATTGGTAAACGGTAGAGCTGGATTCTAAATCCGGGTCTACTTGACTCAATTACACCACTATACCAAGCTATTTATTAGCAATCGTTAAAATCCAGGGAGGATAAAGATCTAGCATTATCTTTCAAAAAATAATAGGATGCATAACGAAATTTAAAATATAACAAAATAAATGTAAGGATTTGGGAATGGAAAAAGATTATTTGCCTGGATCTATCCATTGGTAGGGGAATAGAGGAGTGGTTAAGCTCACGGGCTCTGGAGGCAGATGCCTGGGCACATAATTTGGCTCTGCCCTTTCCTACCTGTGTAACTGAGCAAATTACTTGAATTTCTTGTGCCTCAGTTTCTTCATCTGTACAATGAAAATAATTGTTGTATTTTCCTGTAACGGCGATTGTGGGATTAAGAGAGTGCACAAGGTTTAGAGAAGTGCCTGGCATGTAGTAAGCACCGAGTAAGTGTGTTACTGTTACCAAGGAAAGAAAACATGTTTGTAAATGACATTTTTGTTTACAGTAAGTGCAGGATCACAGATTTAGTTGTATTTTGATTGGCTTTTGGTTCTTCTGTAGAATAAACTTTCACTTCAAAACATGATAAAAGCTCTTTAATTATACTTATTCAAATATATTTAAAATTATTTTCAGTTCTACAGGGTATTTCTGCAAGTATCCATATTTACAGACACAGCCCTGAACCCTAGTTCAATCTGGTATTAACACTTTGAAGTGTGCTGCACCCTGGATGTCTGAGGCATACTATTCAAGCACTGGGGAACTCTAGGCAGCAGACTTTTAGTAAGGGATCCTATAGTATTCTAAAATCCGAAAGGAAAAGCTACTGTCAAAATATAACAAGCTATTTGACACAGTAAACAATTTGTAAGAAAGTTTCCTTAAGGCGTAAGATTTGTCAGGATATGCATCATCACACAAAAACTGTTGATTATCAAAGCAAGTTGTCATAACCGAAGGGAGAGGGCAGTGTGCAGAAATGTAAAGCGTCTTCGTATATCATTGTGAAACAAAACAGAAGAGTCAAAAATAATGTCTCCTGATTTTAGTCCAAGAAACAAAGATAAAAATGTCTTGGAAAAGTCTTCCTGTGGCTGCTAGGATTGTTTTTTGTTTTATTTTAACTCTTCCTCCCTTTTAGTTCTTGGTTAAACACTGTTTCCCGAGAGATAAGAGAGGTGGGGTCCAGCCCCTAGAGAAGGATACTGGCGCAGCTTCTGTGGCATGGAGATGAGCGGTGCCATTCCAGGGTTCTTGTGAAGAATCTTGTGGAACTGGAAAACAGGAGCCCAGGCGAAGGCCAGGCAATGGGCCCACACCAGGGACTAATGTGAAGATTGCAGCTCCTGAGTTACACAGGCCCTCAGGGGCTTTGCCCACCCCAGGTGGGACACACCAGGTATGGAAACCAGCGGTTAGATCAAACTCACCATTGTTGTTGGTATACTTTCAGGCTAGGGTCCTGTTCATTCATTCATTCAACAAATGTTTACTGAGATCCTACCATGTGCCAGGCGTCGTGCTAAGCGCTAGTCAAGCAAAGGTCAGCAAGCACAAGATATGCTGCCTCCCTTCCTGAAGCCTGCAGTCTAGTGGTGAAGATGGATATTGACCACATAGTGACACAGATAAATGTATAATTGCAAATTGTGATACGTGTCCTGGAGGAGAATGCTGAGAGAGATTGGTGGGAGAGGGTCAGAACTGAGATGAGTGGGTCAGGGAAGGACTCTGAAGAGGTGACATTGAAATTGAGACCTGAAGCATGAGAAGGAACTTGGCAAGGGAGTGAGTGGTGGCCGAAGTGTGTGTTTGGATATGTGTGTGTGTGCTGAGCGGGAGAATACAAAACGAGAGAAAGAGGAAGAGAAGGTGCTAGGAGAACGGACCCTCCGCGGGCTTGCGTGAAGTTCCTCTGGGCTGGAGTACAGACGGGGTGTGGGTTGGAGTCGAGGGATACAAAGAGGTGAAGCAGGAAGCAGTGGACCGGATCCAGAGAACAGAGAAGTTAAGGGGGATGAACTTGAACACTTTTAATCAGGTGAATAACAAGATCAGATTTATGCTTTATGCTACACGTAAAATTGTACCCTGATTATTAGATTTTATATCTCTAATTTTATTATAGCTTGCATTGTTTGGAGACCACTTATTTAAAAACAATAACAGAATTCTGATGGAGTTTACATAGGATTTGTGCAGTTTACTCTACTTCCAAAAATAATCTTTACCCCAGGAATACTTAGATTAGGGAGGATGGTTAGAAGTAAGAAATTCAAGCTGAATTACATATATTAAAACAAGCGACCATGGAAGATTCTAATACAGAGTACTCATGTTGATTCTCAACAGGATGAAGAAAGATGCTAGATAACTGTAATATGTACTTGGCAGAACAACAGATAGGAGCTATCAGAATTACATGGCCATTAC